CCCTGAAGGACGCCTCCTCAACACCACAGAGACAGGAGGTGTCATAAAGCTTAACTGGGACAACTGGTCGGAAGCAGCCCAGCTTACAGCAGCGATGCTTTCTGATGCATCGAGTCTCTTCCTTTCATTGAATTCAGCCACTAACAGAGAATGGGAGCTCGGGTCAGACGGTTCTAAGTAGGTAAGTTTTTCACTACTGTAGGTCGTTACCATAGCAATGCGGCCAAGCTGAAGGGAAACTGCAGGTTCAGGTCAAGGATCCATCTAAAGGGGAAGAACTGGAACCGACTTTGGCGCCCCCTACCCACAGATCCTGCCATAATCCTCTAAACTAAAACATTTACCTTTTGATCCAGAAACGAAGGGCTGATTATTCTAATCAGGTTAGTCAGGTGACCTTACCGGCGTCTTTAGCCCATTTCATGATAGAGGTGACTTCATTTCCCTTCTGCGATTTGCAGATTCCGTTACGAGCCGCTGCACTGACTCCAACGGTGTTCAGGTTGGTTTTTACCCCACAGAGATACGCCGTGGCCGTGGCTGCGCTGTCTGGGATCTGGAAGTCTACGCTGTAGGTCTGCAGGAACACAGAACCAAACAAGAAGCTGCCTGATGAACGCTGATGCTGCACATCTGGACTTCAGTCACTGAAAACAGAACTAATAGTTCATCTATGTCTAAATCTAGTCCCCATCTAAGCTTTGACTTTAGCTTTTAAAAAACTCTGCGGATCATGAAAAACATTTCCAACAATTTAAACTTAAATAAACTTAAAACTCTCTTGTGATCATATCAAATTTCTGATGGGCCGAGAAAATATCTATAGATAGAAAATGTCTGTGAAACATTGTTTACTTTAAGTAATAAGTAGAAACTTGCTCCTCATTACCACAGACAAACTTCCAGTCATTAGGAAAAGTCCAGATGTTCAGATTTGATCCAGGAAGCTTTAGAGTCGGATGCAGAGACGGAAAACCTGTTTTTACTTCACAGCATTTCATCCCAACTTCAGTCAATGCTGACAAAAGGCAGATGAGGAGCGCAGAAAATAATCCAAAATAGAAAACCTTCACTACAAAATCACAAAAAGGAATTATTTTACTACCAAGTAAGCTGTGGCGAATAAGTCTAATAAAGGATAAGAAATGTTGGAAGTGTAGTGAAGAGGTTGGTGCACTATGGGATTGCCCCTTGATTATGCCCCTTTGAAGGAAGTTTAGTCTAGTTTAGTCAACCTTTTAGAGGGTTTTCCAAAAGCTGAAAGTAGAATAATGATGACAGGTTTTCTGGTAGCGGCTGGAATGATTCTTGGTAAACGGAAGAGCCAACATAGACCGGAAATTAAGGAACGACTTCAACTTATATCAGAGAGAGCAGCTTTAGAAGTCATGATTTCAAAGGTGCAGAAGGAGCAGAGTAGAGCTGGCCAAGCTTGGCTGGATTTTGGTTACAGCACTGGTCTTCAACGTTTTCCAGGCCAAGGACCCCAAACTGATGGCCAGATGCAGCGGGGCCCCCTGATTATAGATATTCTATGAAATAGTGTTCTATCAACCTGGTCCTATAGTCACTCTATTACAGATGGAGTAATGTAACTAAAGTAATCCCTCCCTGGGATTATTAAAGTATTTCTGCTTCCTGGTTGATGGGACAGGTGTTGTGAATGAAACGGTGTCCAGCTTGAAAGAGCTCCTGTGTGTCTCTGAATGTGAGCATTGATGACTGAAAGACATCTTCTGCCTCCATTTATCTGTTTACTACAGTCTGTTGGATTCATGTTCATGTGGATTTAAGGACATTTTAATTAGTGGGAAGAATTGCAGGGCGGAATATAAAAAAAGGCTAATCAACAAAAAACTTTCGCGACCCCCATGCAGTACCTCCGTGGACCCCCAAGGGGTCGCGGACCCCCTGTTGAAGACCTCTGGGTTACAGTGATGGTATCAGTTCTGCAGGGATGTGGTGTTTATCTACATTAATAAGCTATGGAATAGATCATTGATGAGTGCCGTCATGTTCTGTTTTGCTGCCGATGTTTATTTGTGTGTTTGAGTTTTTGAAAGTAATTTTTCTGTAATTGTATTATTATCATAAAATGAAAATAATATAAAAAAAATGACAAAAAGAAAAAAAAACACCCAAAAGTCATTAGCTGCTGTTTTCATTGCCCCCCCTCCCCCCCATCTACCTGTGGCGAGGTAAACCACAGAGGCCTCCTGCTGTTACTGTGCTGCTCCCACCTTAGCCAGCCCCACGTGTGGGAAGGTGTCCATGGTCATCACTGTCTCCTCTCCGCTCTGGTTCTGCAGCTGACCCTTCAGGATACGAGCTGCCGTGAACGTTGTCATTCCCATTCCTGAGGCGCACATCATTCCAGATGTTAAGGCAGAACAATCTACGTCCATGAAACTAGAAGTAGAGGTTATAGAGCTTACCATCCCCAAGGAAGAGCACAACATTCTTGGCAACATTGGTGTTCAGCTTCCTGTCCAGGATGGACTGTAGGGTCTGTTTGGCCTTTGACCTCCAGAACTCAGGGTTCTCCTCCTCAACTGAGAACAAACATGCATATGAAATTAGCACTAAAGCAGAAATATCAGGGATACTGTTGATTTTTAGAGTCACATTGAGATACGATAATTCAGCTCAGCATCGTTCTCCATCTTCCCTGTGTGGCTAGCGCGTACAGGAATTTAGAAAAGGACGTTTAGACATCAGACTCATTGCTTTAAACTCCAATAGAACTGTTTTTTTCTTCTTTTCATCAATCAGTCATTTCAGCATATTGTAGTTAACATTTTCTCTCCTTCCCAACCTTAATTGATACAATAAAATATTTAAATCCCTTTATTTCCACTTTAATGGGGATATTCCCTCTCTGCATTTAACCCCTCCCCTTGGGGAGCAGTGGGCGGCCATGGTGCGGCACTCGGGGAGCAGTGAGGGGTTAAGGGTCGTCTACAAAGTCAGGGAAAAACTAAACATATATAATATAACTGAAATAAAAGAATAGTGATTTAAAGGTCTTAGATAAAGCACATTGGTATTGTCTCTGTAAAGTGCCTTCAGATGACGTCTGTTATGAATGGAATTGAATTAATTGAATTATTATATGCTATTATAGTGCAAACGCCCTATTGTGACAAAGTGACTCCAGTTGCAGGTTTTTTAAATCCAGGCTCTTATTAAACAGGTTATTTCGTAGAAGTAATGTAGAAGAAGAACATGCAGTGGCGCCGCTTCTTCAGGCCTGCTTATCCTCCTGCAGCGTGTCGCAGATATGTTGAAGCGTGTTCTGCGCTATGTTATTCCACGCCACGACGCTAGAGGGCCAATCAGGAACTGGCTGTGGGTCCAGATACGGACGAGGCGGTGAGGAAGTGGGGGCAAGTTTTTCCAACAATGGAGGGCCATGAGGGCCAAAAAGAGCGGGGATCCAGGTGGAAAAAGGGTCCCAGCGTTCTCGCGCACTTCGCTCTGCTAGCTGCTCCATCTTCACCAGGCGTTTCCCACAATGGCGGTCAGACAAACAAAACCAGCCGGTAAGGAACCAAACAATTCAATTCAGTTTTTTGTATAGCGCCAATTCACAACACGTCATCTCAAGGCACTTTACAGTTCACCACAGGAACAGGACATACGCATAGTGTACAGCGGATGTAGAATTGACCAATCAGAGGCCTCCTGTCTGCGGCCACCTATAATTTTAAAGAGGTGCAGCAGAGTGTCTTAGGAAGGGGCGGGGCATATCTGCGTTCACTGCGACGCAGGCAACCTGGTTTCTGAGCATAAACCATCCTTTAACACAGGAGGCGTCTAAGTCTATTAGTAAAGGAGCTGCTCAGCTCCTCCACCGTCTGCTGCAGAGCCAACCTGACCATGGTCTCCTAACCATGGTCTCCTAACCATGGTCTCCTGACCATGGTCTCCTGACCATGGTCTCCTGACCATGGTCT